GAGCCCTACATCGACTCTCCTAACTAGGACTCGGTCGAGGTAGCTCGCAAGCATCCCAGGAGCCGAGTTGCCACTATTTGTCCAAGTCCATGCTACATCCCGAGGGTGTTCATTCCTGTACTTATCGACAAGATCAAACTCATCGATAAAGTCCCGAAATGGTTTCACGTCCGGGTTGTTAGTACCTTGTTTATGCCCTATACGATCTATATCAGGGTCAAGGGCGGCATTCCAATCCCCCGCTAAAACTACCCGACGAGATGTCGCCAAGTACGGCGCGATCTGCCGAAACAAAGCAGGCCGCTCGGCATGGTTATTGGGCGCATAAACCCCAATGAGACGTAAAACCTTATCCTTTATGGTAACATCCAGCACGCAAAGTCTACCCACCGGATCCGCGAAGACAAGGGTACATACAGCCTTCAAAGACCTGCTCACTAGCCAAGAGACACCCCTCGAACGACCATCAAAACATGCTGAATAAAGGGCGAACCCCTTAGACGGTATGTCCTCACGGTCATGAGAAGAAAACCTGGTCTCTTGCACACAACATACATTCACCCCAAGGCGCTGAAGGTCACGAGAGAGCCTCGCCCTGCGAAACTCGGACCTCAGGCCCTGGAAATTTAAACTAGCTAACCAGAGAGACATTGTCAAATCGATTAGGGTTGTCCTTCAGGATAGAACATGGCTGGGGTGAGGACACCGACAGCTCGTCCCATAGATCCGGACGCCATCTCACTTTCGACGGTATCATCTTGAGACAAGTCGCCGATGTCCGAAGGATACGTTAATTTAAGAGCCCTATAAAGGGATGGGTGAACAAAAACGGGGACCCTCCCTTTGAACTCTTGGTTTGATTCGTCCATTTCTGGGTCGAGTAGGTAGGCAGCTGGGGGCACCATTTTTAGAGACGACTGGGCCTCCTCTATCATGCCCCAAATCTCCCGCGTACCAGGGCCAGTTCTTATGACGGTCAGTGTTCTTTTGGCAGAAGGGAAATTTTCGGGCACTTCGACATCCAAGCCGTTAATCTGTTTAAAGTACCATAAAACTTTTAAGGCATTCGGGTTCCTAGTCTGCCCGAAAACCCTCTCTGCCCGTACCCGGGATACGCGGCAGACGTCTTCCCCTGAGAGATATGGTGGCTTAATTTTTTGTTTTTTCTTGTCAATAGCTGCCTGTGAATCGGGGCTTCTATTTCTTTTCTTTTGAGGAGATTGACTAGGTGTTTGAACAGGTGTATCTCTGGGAGTCGTAGAGGGTGTCATGCCGGAAGGAGTCATAACAGGGGAAGGTTTTGTTGAATGATAAGATTTAGACGGTGAGTTTGTCAATGATTTGGAGGGAGGTGGTTTTGTGAATGTTTTTTTGGATGATGAAGGGGAAGACGGGGCAGAGGATAAGGGGCCCGGTGCCCCCAGCGATTTCTGATTTTTAGCCCGCTTTGCTTCCATTCCTCCTTGAGCTTTTTAATGTCTAGAATTTTTTGCCAGCTAGGCTCATTCATTTTTTGCGTGGATGTGGCATTTTCTTCATACGACGCCGAGGCGTCGCCCTCAGAGCTCGTAGAGGGAATGGGGCTGTAGGTGTTTTTATCCCCGGGGTCATGATGGGACACAGGCCCCGCTGTCCGAATCTTCCCTTTGCCCCTAACTACGAGATGCCATTCCCCCTCTTCCTTTTCCTTATCCACACTTGTGGAAGGCGTCGGTTTTGGGGGTAATGTGGGTAAAGACCCAACCGAGGGATTTTCCCCACCGGTCCGCTTCGTAGTTAGGCCCACTACAGGCGCCGCAGATTTGACAGTCTTGGTCAAAGAGGGATTTTGGTCGCCAGCGGCCGGAACTCCAGGAGCCTTCTTCCCTGGGCAGGAGGAGGAAAGGTGACCAGTCTCTCCACACCTCCAGCAAGTAGGTTTCCTACCGGTTACAATGACCGGCATTTTCCGGCTGCCTAAATCCAAACAGTTGGGGATGGACTTGGAGGTCTTCTGATGTAACATAATATCGAAAGTCCATCCCCCGTTCAAGTTGTCGGAGAGAGCCCCTAAAAAGTGAATGAGTTCAATATTTTAAGTCGCATCGAAGTTTCGTTTTTATTAGTTCTCTTGGTCACGTGGGGGATCGGGAACATGTTTATATTTTGTGGCGTCAACTTGAGGTCAAAATTTGGGTCGGTACATTCGGACGTAATTGACGACACTTAATTTGATATTTTTCAATCAATTAGAATGCATCAGTTGTTATACTTGGCTGAGAGTCTATGTGTTTAACTTGCACAAATTTTGGATTTAAAACAATGTAGGAATCTGATTTTACCACACTAACAGGTACCAAAGTAGGAAAAAATAAATAGAATAGAAAACAAATTAAAGGCCATTCAATTAAAAAAAATCTGGAGAGGACCGTGTGTGTATTCACATGTTGTATTAGAAACACGTGTATAACTCCTGGTAAAATATTAAAAGGTCCAACTACATGAAAAATGGCGGACTTAATTTGTCCAACAGAAGATGAAAGAAGACAAATAAGACAGATATATATATATATATATATATATATATATATATATATATATATATATATATATAATAAAAGAAAGAGGTTGTAGTGGTTCCAACGAGAAAAAGTTTGTAGATTAAAAAGAAGAGAAGAGAGATGCCACAAACGTTTTTGGTTGTGATATGATTTTTTTAGAAAAAAATATTATGCTTCATTTTCCATAATTTTGTGGCTGGAAATGAATTGTAATAAAACTAGCATTGATTGATGATGAGATGGCAGTTTTTTTTTTTTATTAATTTAGCTATTGGTTGGTAAAAAAAAAATAATAAAAATCTGATGTCTTATCACTAATCAATGCTACTTTTAATAATGATTGTTACAAAGAAAACTGGCTGACTTTTATCTGAAAAATTGTAATCTGAAATGTAAACTTGAAGAGTTATCTCCCCTGAATGTTTCTTGTGGATGAAATTGAAGAAATATTTCATTCTGTTTCAGGATCTGCCTGAGCACGGCCAGAGTATCAACTACTTTTGTTGAATTAAGAAGAGAGACAAAGATAGAGGTAAGAGTTGTTTTCTTATTGCAGAGAACACAATAATTAAACCAGTTAAGAGCATGCAAGTAACTAATCTATGTATGTGTGTGTGTGTGTGTGTGTGTGTGTGTGTGTGTGTGTGTGTGTGTGTGCGTGTACTTATATATGAACATTTCATTGAAAACGACAGACAAAGTGCTTTTATTTAGTTTTTTTATACAATTTCTCATGCGATCTAATAATTTTTTTCTTTTTGGATGAAAGATTATATAAAAACTGTCCGAATGTTCTTTTTATCTGAGCGCTTTCGGCTATACATTTAGCCATTTTCAAGGAATATATTTTAACTGTTAAAATAAGAAATAGTTTGTTGTATGTATGTTTTACAAAATGTTTTCATTTTTCAAAACACGGTATTATGTTTATGTTGAAAAATTATTAGATTGCATGAGAAATTGTATAAAAACTAAATCAAAGCACCTTGTCTGTTGTTTTCAATGAAATGTGCATGAAAGACGGATTGCTGCCTAAATACACAAAAATATATGTATATATGTATATATATTAAAAAAATTCCTTGAATATTACTTGCTTACTTTTGTCATACCAGACTTTGAATTATGGAATTCTGTACTCTCCACATATTTTGACTGACTTTTGAACCATCTGATAAATATTCATGAATGTTCTCAAATTTAAAAGCCTTGATAAACCAAAGACATCCTTGCTTTTGTATATAAAGACATGCAACAAAATAAACCCTTACATCTGACTTGATAAAGTCCCTTGGAGGACGAAAAGATATTGACTAAGAATAGTTTTTCCTCTTGCCTTTTATTCACACACACACACACACACACACACACACACACACACATATATATATATATATATATATATATATATACAGTGGAACCTTGTTCACAAATTTAATTTGTTCCTGATACAGTTTGTAACTCAAAATGTTCGTAAACCGAAACTGCTTTTCCATTAGGAATCAATGTGGAGAAAAAAGTCACGGTACAATAAAATTGGAAAAGAAAATCACGTCAGAACACACAAATGTATACAACATGGCGGTTGACTCAGGAATTATTCTGTTTGGGTTAACTCTGTTTGGCAATGTTGCTTGAGAACCAAAATTTTGTTCAATAACCATGACATTTTCATCTCAAATTTTCTGTTCAAAAAACCAATTTGTTTGCCATATGAAACATTCGTGAATCAAGGTTGCTATATATATATATATATATATATATATATATATATATATATATATATGAGCATCTTTGTGGTTAGGACCTGCCATGCCACTAACATACTAGCAAACATCTATGTCCAACATTAACATTCTTCTTCCATGTGCCGTGTTCTTTCATGATGTGGGTGATTATATCTTTCCTTTTTCTTCTTAGCAAACATACCAAACCTCCTTTCTCACGTTCCGCCACCTATTCAAGCAAGCTGGTCAGGTGGTCCACTGCCTTTCCCTGTCCCTCTTGTCCACGATACGCCCTATGTCAAAATCTCCAGACCCCACTTCTTCATTATATGTTTCAAAAATTTCAGCTAAATCTTTCTGATTCTGTGTGTAAAATATTCTTTTTACTTCCAAATTCCTTAAGGCTTCCTCCATGGAGATCTCAGCATCCTACTGTAGAACCACATTTCTGTTGCTGCAAGTCTCTTCTTCATCCGTAAAGAGATTGTCCAGCATTCACTGCCATGCAAAAGGGTTGATATTACATCATAGTTCGACACACTTTTCTTTGTAAAAAAATTCTCCTGTTTCTCAGTCCTTTGTTTAGATTTTTCAGATGCATCTTTTGCTAATCCAATTTGCATTCAGATTTTAGTGTCTCATTTTACATTATAGATTCACTCCCACCATCATGAATAAACACATAAACTTCAAGTGTATAACATGAATGAAATTTTATAACAGACTTACGTACCTAAGGCTTCAATGACTTCAACAACGTCTGCAGAGTTCTTTAACAGTGTGTAACTGGATTTTTCTTTTGGACAATCTGACAAAGAATACCCTCTCAGATTAATTGCCACCACTCTGGAATATTGTAATATAATAAGTAATACTTATTAGTTACTAATTAATAAACTTGACCAAAGAGAAAGAAGATAAGTATATCTATGTATTATGGGGATTTTTCCCAGACACATAAAATATAAATGAACAACGTATTAAGCACATGATAATTGAAAAAAGGACTCTTACTTAGCGTGAAATTGAAATGGAAAAAAAATTTTATTTAAAATAATTTCTGTCTATTTTTCTGAGATAAGGTATTGTAACTATTTACACTATTTACATTATTCGAACTGTTGTCTTCATCTTTATTGTCATATTCACAGTCTATATTTCTGAAATGAGGTATTGTAACTATTTACAATATTTACATTGTTTGGACTGTTGTCCTCATCTTTATTGTCATATTCACAGTCTATATTTCTAAGATGAGGTATTTACAATATTTACAACTATTTACAGATATTTACATTGTTCATTGTTCAAACTGTTGTCCTCATCTTTATTGTCATATTCACAGTCTATATTTCTAAGATGAGGTATTGTAACTATTTACACTATTTACATTGTTTGGACTGTTGTCCTCATCTTTATTGTCATATTCACAGTCTATATTTCTGAGATGAGGCATTGTAATTATTTACATTATTTACATTGTTCGGAATCTTGTCCTCATGTTTATTACCATATTTACAATGTTTAAGCTTATGCTTAGACGTTTTTCTGGTTATATACACTGAAATTTTAAACATCTGTGGATTAAATAAATGGTTCAGTTTGAAATTCCAATGTGTACCACCTGAAGAAGGTTGGAGTTTTCAATGATTGAAACACCATGAACATGACAATAAGGTTGAGGACAACACTCTGAATAATATAAATAGTTACATTAATTTGTTATGATGAATGAAAGATTTTTAGAGTGATTGTTGTTTTTGGAAATCTTTCAGAAGTTAATAGAGCCTTACAGATTTATAAGTGAGGTGACTTTGTATTCTTAAGAGAAACCTTGTCTTGTCTGTTCATATTAGATGAATATGTTTAATGTACTCTGTTTTAAAATTTTTGCATGTTGTTCCACAGTTCTTTATAACTCATGGGTATCTCAGAACACGGTGTCTTTTTTCTCCATTCACTGCTAAGGTGACTGGCTCTGCTGTCTTACATTCCAACTTAACTAGTCGCTCATGAAAAGGATCACAACATATAACAATTAAGATTGCTTTTAAACTCAGTAAACTGCTTCACAAAATTCCATCTTTTTGACTGGTTGGAAATAATTTTATTATAAATTTAATATATATGTAGTATATATATATATATATTATATACATATATAATATATATATAATATATATATATATATATATATAATCTATATATATATATAATATATATATATATATATATATATATATATATATATATATATATATATATATATATATATATATATATATATATATATATATATATATATGTATATATATATATATATATATATATATATATATATATATATATATATATATATATATATATATATATATATATATATATATATATATATATATATATATATATATATATATATATATATATATATATATGTGTATATATATATATATATATAATATAATATATATATATATATATTTTTTATATATAAAGGTGTATGTGTATATATATATATATATATATATATATATATATAGATAGATAGATAGATAGATAGATATACACACACCTTTATTGAATCCACTCTTAAAGAATCTAATGTATGTTTATCTATCTGCTGGTATTGATGTAAAAACATTACCAAATCAAATGTGGTCAACTAAACACACACACACACACTCTTACAAATATACATCATCATCTGACTTCCACATAGCAAACTAGCAGTATGATACAATTACATACATAAAGCAACATTTAAGCATTTTCAGTTAGATTTGGGATCCAACAATTTCTTTAAAAATGAAATCTGATCTCCCCTGGAATTCAGGAGGCCAGAAATTATACTAATGTTGTTCAGCAAGTCAAAAAACCTGATTAACCAATGAAAATCAAACAAAATAAAAATATAAATTCCAAAGTTTTTTTCTTCTGAGGAGGTGAATTCTGTTAAATTGATAAATGTTTCATATTTGTTCTTCATCCTATCATAAGTAATTACAATTACACCCACCCAAAACTATTATGGATATGAACCCTAAATTCTCATGATGACAATAATTCTGAAGCAGGCATATATAAAATATATATAAAAAATATATATATATATATATATATATATATATATATATATATATATATATATATATATATATATGTATATATATAAAAATATATAAAATAAATCACCTCAGTTGTTCCTTTCAATATATTGGTGAAACATGCGGAAATTAAAAAAAAACATTTATGATCAAAAGAAAAATCTCCTACATAAAAACTTATCTGATGCATTAGTCATACACAGAAATAATTTCAGCCCTTATTTCAAAATCAAATTTAATATTCATTAGATATTTTGTAGTGGCCTTGTTAGGGCCAGAAATAAAGACACAAAGAGAGGAATTGTGTTAAACAAATATATTAACACAAACAGTAGTACAAACATATACAAACGAGAGTGTTACAGCAAGAATGTTCAGTCTAACTGTCAGTGCTGACTGCTGGAAACTTCCCCTTTCCAAAAGGCAGTACCTGCTCCTATTTATAGCTGGGAGAGTCCATGTGTGGGGGGGTAAATTACCATAACACATTTTTTTTATTACTTCAAATGTTATTCTTAGTGAATAACCATGTTGGAAATGAACATCCCATTATTTTAAACAGTGTATGATATCTATCTATTACCCTAACTTGAGAAAACTTAATAAATGAAATGTGCACTCTGACTTCTATTTCAAACATGAGTATACATTAAAAACGTTTGAATTAATAAAAATGTTGGATTAAAAATAAGTTTGATGTGATATGCCTTAGCCTGCTCAGAAATGACTTTGTTTATGTTTCAGATATGAATCTAAGTAGATGTGGCCTTTTCAAAATAACTATATTTTTTAAAAGAATCAAAAAAGAAAAAGAAAAACCTTGTTGCACTGTGATGCTTTCTGTGGCTGAGCAGGTTAAAGCACACTGGAGCAAATGGTAATTTCTCCTACAAAGGAGGATACAGGTTTGTACCATCCCCAGTGAATACATTTCCTTTACTAAGTTTTCTTGAGTGTACAAGTCTGAATGACATAATACACACAGTTTAAAATAACAGGGAGTCTATTTCAAACATGGATATCCACTAAAAATAATGTTTGATCTAATAATATATATATATATATATATATATTGAGCTTATGTTGTGTCGGAAACCTACCACCCCTCTTGAAGATGAACTTGTCTGCGTCTGTGAACAAAGACTTTAAATAGTGGCATGTCAGTTGACATGGAGGAAGACAGATAGACAGAGAAGTTCTTAGCTGAGCTAGATTATTGACTACTCAGGCGATTTCTTTACCTTTTTACCAACCTATTAAAACCCTTTTTATTGTTACGTGTTATTTGGCGTTTGTCTCTACTAACCCCAAATCAACATCATAACAGCTTAATTAATATATACATACATATATTATTACTAAGGGCACCTCATCTGAAGTAATGTTATTCTTACAGCTTATTTCTACTATAGGTTTACGGCCATATTATATTGAAACACTGGTTCTTGTATGATCACTGAAGTTAAGCAATGTTGAGCCTGATCAGTACCTAGGTGGGTGACCACTTGAGAATATCAGGTACTTTAAGCTTGTATGTGCAGGTGGTGTAATAGATAATAGCTTGGAATTGGAAATCAAAAAGCCAAGTCGCATTTCCAGTCAGGTTTGTTAAATTCAGTTAGTTTGGGGAAGGTATGAATCCACCTCCTCTTTCCCCCAGGTATGGGTTAATTAGTAGGGTTTGTATCAATAAATCATTATTATCTCAAAAACAATTCTTACAATCTTAAAATGTTTTCTGGCTTTAAATAACCTACAAAAGGTTGATAAGCTGTATAAGACATAATCAGTCCTAGTATAATAGGTTCCATACTTACCTGAGAACCCTACAATTATAGCCTTGTGCCATATTAAGATCTATCTCTTTCTTACTCCTTTTTTTCTTTGTCGGCCATGATACTTTTAAACTATTTGCTATCAGCTCCCTTCCTGTGTATATTGACACATTTAATTAATTAAAGCTTCGATTTTTTTTACTCTCATTCATCATCAGAATCATTAAAACAATATTGAAAATTTTCATACCTGTAGTTTTTACTAAACTCTCGAATCTGATAACGCCAGGTGTACCAGCAATCCAGTAAGCCATGAATAAACAACATCAAAGGTTTGTCTTCATCACCGCTGGCAACATAATGCAGTTTAATCTCCTTTAAATAAACATTTACATAAATCATTATATTAGAAAGCTCAATAAAGAAATGAAAATAAATAATTCAGCAATGTTTAATCTTTGTGCCTTCAAAAAATGGTCAGTCAAAAAGGATGGTTGTTTCCTTGACACTGCTATTACTGAATTTAAGTGTAGTACTAGATTGGCTGTTAGGTCTCATCCTTTTACAGTTGAATAGGCTAGATGTAACTGTAAGTTCTACAATGACAGTTTGTTTTCTCTCACTTCTTGCTAGTGGAACTCTTGTCTGGCTTCTTGCTTTCCAGCCAACACTGATCTTCAAAAATGTCAATCATTATCTACTGTCGTTTTGATTTCTCTTCTTTTATTCTTCTCACTCCTTAATAATGTTTTTTCTTTTTCTTATTCTTTCACACTCAGTAACCCTATTATGTCTTAGTGGCTTTATTGCCTTGTTTGAGGTGAGATGATTAAAAAAAGAAGAAGAATTAATGACCTTTAAAAATTTTTCATGGCACACCTACAATCTTCTCACAACACAATAGTGTGCCATAGAACACCTGTTGAAAATCACTGCTCTAGACTATTACAACATTTTTGCTACTCATTGAAGCAAAATATTTGTGAAAGAAGAAAGGAACACGGTATAATATTAGCATTTGTGGAGGTTTTCACAAATGGGAGATACAAATTAAATGATGGACATTTTACAATTAAAAAATTGCTGGAGAACATTACATAAAAAGAATACAAAAAATGATGAATGATGGTGTGCATATGTAAAGATGTTCATTTTCATACATTTTATCATGTATTACTCCTCCTCTCTTTGTGTTGGCTCTATATATCGGCCTCTGGGTATTTATAGAAAATGAAGAAAGGAGAAAAGACATTTTTCCTCTCATTTTTTTTTTTGTTTAGGGTTACTATATTTTGCTGCTTATAAAACTTTTTTTTCCCTATAAAATATCTGCAAAAACCACTCTATAAATCGAAGATCGGTAAACAGGAGTTATAAGTTTTGGGAGTGGTGTGAGCATCAGCTTGCCAGTTACATCCGATTCTGAACCCAAGAAAGTAAAGATTTAAATTGATGACATTTCGATAGGAGCGATTTATGCAGTTGGGATACTGGCAGGAAATTAAATTTCTATTATGGTAACTCCTTCCTCTCTTCTTTATTACTTAAACTATTAGTCACAAAGCAGCATTATTTATGGTAGACACTTTAAGAATAACACTAACTTCTATTCTAATTATTGCATTCTGAATAGTTACTATAAATTTGGTACATCTGAATGTTATGATTAGTCGTTTTTTCATGCTAAAATAACCTATTCAGGGGATAAAATTGGGGATAGTAGGGAGGGCTATGAATTAGAAGGAAAATTTTTTTTTCAGATTTCTTCCATCAAAATTTCGTTGGGGGCGGCATCTAATACATCAAAGAGAGACTGTGAAATTTCTGTGTCTCTATGAGGAGAGATGGTCTGGAAAATTTAACACTCACATGACATATTGAAGGAAGGAGAAGCAGAGAACAAGTGTATGAGTGAAGGGAAAACAGTGACGACAAAGAAGGATGGTAATTGTAGTTATATTTATAACAAAAACAAGTTAAATAATACAACAGAACCTTTTTTCCATTTTGAATAGAAAAAAAATTACATTTCTTTACTACAGTAGTGTGTAGTGATTTTCTGCAAGGAAAGTCTGTAAAAGAAGTAAATAGGCCAAATTTTCTAATCATGATGGCAGTAATGGGGGACAAATGACCAACAAGAATTCCGATTTTTTCTTGTCAATAACTCCAAAATTATGAAGGTTTCTTCACAATTTAATTGTTAATTTGAGTTCAGCATGTACATTTGCACGGAATTATGACGATTTTGGAAAAATTTTAAGGGATATTAGTGCTCGGGAAACAAAACCAACTTACCAAAGCTAGAATAAAAAAATGTTTTTTTTTTTGGAAATCACATAAATTCATGAATTATCAAGAAATTACATTTTAGGGCGAAATTGTTTCATTTGTTATAAGTAGATTTATTAAGGACAATATTGTTTTAAGAATATTTTTTCCATTGCTTTTCTAAATAATTTAAATGTCTGAAGTTAAACCAAAAGAATTCTTAAAACACTATCATTCTTTTTTACTTTTTACTCATGACAGTATATTTAGAAAAACATTCAATTGTTTTTCTAAATAATTTAAATGACCTTAAACTTGACAAAAACAATTTTATCGTCAAAATGTTCGTTACCATTAAAGAGGAAAGAACAAAGTAATTATTTTTAACTTTAAAATTTTTGTCTTTTTAAAACTTTCTAACTTTTGATTAAAAAAACCTTTGTTTCTCTTCATCAGCAGATGTCCTAGTAAATAACACAGAAAATTTTAGTGCATTTTTTTAATGACAGACATTTATTTTGAAAATCTTGCAAAAATAAAAATAATTATTGGATTTTAATGAAACTTTCAGAAACTATTCATAAATGATGGAAATTATTGTTTATTTTTTTTTTTAAATCATGGTAAAAAAAATTTATATTTATTACCCCCCAACTAATTTTATGAAAACTCATGAAATTCTAATTTGTACAGATTTAGTGATTAATTAGTTAAAAGCACAAGGCTTTGAGGAAAGCAAATCATTTCTTTTTAGTTACCCCACCCTCCATCTCTACCTTAAAATCAGCTCTGAATTGTAACATACAAAAGTAAAACTCAATAAAACAAAGATATTATTTAATTTTAAAAGCTTTTAGTTGTTTTTATGAATATGGATAATATTTGTCTGAAAGCAAAAAACTTTTTCGATGAAAAATAAATTTTTACAACAATTATTTGTTTTTTCTTAAACTATTTTATTGTTTTTACATTAGTTGTTAAATATTCTAAAATGAATGAAAATCATGTACAGTTTTAGTCAATGGTGTTATTAAGTAGATTTATCATCTTTACAGAAATTGTAAAGCTTATTACAATCAGCAAACCCCAACTATATAAAAATTTAACATAACATGTTTTTTTTTTTTGTATCCATAAATCGACTGTGATTCAACTCTACGTAACACAATGAAAATAGCAGAAAAAAGGGCTACAAAAGTTTCACAAAAGTCTTGGTACCAGTTGCATTGCATTTCTAGACCTCTGGTTTTACTTGGTTGTGAATAAATAAAATAAAAAGTGTATATGTTTATGTAATTATTACAAAAAAAATTGCCTTTTCAATACTGTCATATGATATAACTTAGGATTAAAAAGAAAATTGGTGAAAAAATTAACAAAAGAGAAAAAAAAAAATGTATATTTCAACTGATAAGAGTACCTACAAATTATTATGTACCTGTCTTATGAAATTTATACGGTTTTATTTTTTTTATATTATCTCAGTTATGACATTTTTCCATAAATATTTTCCTTAAAATTAAGGAGGTAAATAAGTTGGTTCACTTTAAAGCTAATTTAAGTCATTTCCGTCCTTCTGTATGATAACTTTTCCTCACTGAAGTTATCAATCAGTCATTTATGCGCCATGCGTGATACATGCTTAGGCGATCTTTTGATACATGATAGACGAGGCAGGTTCTTTTCCTGCAGTAGGTTGCCATTTCTTTTTGCAGTAGCCATTCAAGGCTATAGAACCTGGTCTGTCCTGCTATTTATCCATAGGTAGGGGAAAAGAGGATTCATACCTTTCCCAAGGGTATTAGCACGTAAGTGAATGTAAATGGATCCAACTGGAATTCGAACTCGGCTCTCCAATTCCTCAATCCAAGCCGCTATCCATTACTCCGCCATGCCTCCAATTATTTGTTAAATAAAAGGTCCAGTTCCGAACGGCAGAAATGTTATGAAAACAACAACAAAGACGATGATAATAGCCCGAATATCAGTCAGTCAGTCAGTCAGTCAGTCAGTCAGTTATGTGCCATGTATTATACACGTTTAGACGATCATGTATCTTTCGATACATGACTGACGAGGCAGATTTTTTTTCCCGCAGTAGGTTACCATTTCTTTCTAGAGTAGACATCCAGGCCTATAGAAACCCGGTATGTCCTACTATTTACCTAGACGAGGATTCATACCTTTGTCAAGGGTATTAATTAGCATGTAATATTGATTCAACTGGAATTCGAACTCGGCTCTCCGATTCCTCAATCCGAGCCGCTATCCACCGTTAAGACCTGCTTTCTCTTATTTTAAACGGCGCAGAAAGTAAGTAATGTTTTTTTTAATTAAAATAAATAAACTTTATAATTTCTAATTTTCTTAAAATAAATTTAAAAAACAGTGTAATTGATTTTTGACAATTTTAAACGGAAAAAAATCACATTTTTGGTTTACAAAATTGAAAAAAAAAAAAATGGCTAACAATCGATTTTAAACTTCAAAAACTTCAGTTACATATCAAACAGTTTTTATAAAAGAAAATACAATCTTTTAAAATAGATAATAAAACTTAAAAAAAATAATACCCAAAAAACAAATACTTACTTTTAATTGTAAAAAACCGTGTTCCCCAAGAGTCGGGTCATTCCACTTTTTAGGTGGAGGTTTGCCGTCCCGACTTAAAGGTTTTTTTTTCACAATGTTGTAGAGATGGATGATCGTTTTAGGGTTGAAAATGATGATGACTAAATTCACCAGAAGCTGATAACCAACGAAAAATAAGGACATAAAAAAAATTATAATCAATCTCAACAATTTTATAATCGACATGATTTTTCTCTTCTCGCAAAAAACAAAAAAAAAAAAATGATTCCCAAAGTCAAAAAAAAAAGACGCAATTTCGTTAGGCGTTTGATTACCCTCGACTGCTGACTTGACAAAGCGCGACTGTTTTAGAGACTTATATTATATATATATATATTACTGGCCTTGTTTAACTACATTCACCGTGGAATATTTTGCGCGGGGAGGTTAATTAACGGCCTTTTTACTGATCTTACTGGTTTACTAAAGTTCTCTAGAAAAGCAATATGACAAGTGCTTTTTTTTTTGTTTTTTTTTTCTCCCTTCCTCTTTTAATTTTAAATAATCAATTGATAATTGGTTTTGACTTTTGTATCTTGCTTTTTCTTTCTTTTTTAAATGTCAAGGGTTAAGGAGTTGACAAAACTTGTCTCTTTCTTTACCAACAACAATATATCGTGGGACTGAAATCGAACATACGTTATCATCTCCAACGAAAATTTTATTTTTATTCTTCTTAGAATTATTTTTGTCAAATGATGAAAAATTAAAAATGACTTTTTATGTTTTTTTTTTTTTACATGACAAACATACAGCCGCTAATTTGCGTCTTGCAAAGAAAAAACAAAACTTTTAACTTAAAAGTTTTAAGTGTTAATTAAAATTAGGGAACCTCCACGAAATCGCTAAAAAATCAGCATACCATGATGAAAACATACTCCAAGTCCAAACGTAATGAAAACATAGTTTTATCGTCAAAATCTTTGTTATTAAGACTTAAGAGGAAAGATCAAAGTAATTTTTTTTACTCCTTTTTAGAACATTCGAAATTTTGATTAAAATATTTGTTCTTCTTACATCAGCCGATGTGCTAACTTTTATTTCTAGCATAGCAAATTTTAGCCTCTTTTTGCGGTGACAGAAAAATTAATTTGGAAATTCTTGCAAAAAATTAAATAATTGTCGGATTTTAATTAAATTTTCAGGGTTTATTCACAAATTAATGAAATTGTTTTTGAATTTTTCTTTATTAGGAAATCCCAGTAAAAATATTTTTACATGTGTAAGTTACTTACTTAATTTTATGAAGACTTGAAAAATTCAACGCGATGATTTTTAGTGACTAAAAACAGAATTTTTTGAAGAATTTAAATAAATCACTGAATTTTTTTCGCAAAATCGAACCGTCTTACGGAAAATCTGTTCTGAAACGAAAATAAAAATAAAAAAAACTTAATAAAACTAAAAATTTATTTAATTAGAGATGCTTTTAGTGGCTTTTATGAATATATATTAGGCAATATTGTCCGAAGAAAAATAAGTTTTTGATGAAAAATGTATTTTTACAAGATTTGTTTTTATTTTTTTACAATTTAAATTGAATAATTTATAAAGTTCTCAAATCCCTTAAAATTCAGTTTCAGTGGTGTAACTATTAGAAAATATTGTTGTTAAACAAAACTATATTTACTAATCATATATTGTAAAGTTTTACAATCTGACGACCCCAAATATATTTTTAAATAATTTCGATTTGTTTTTGCATGTATATATACATGCAGAATTTGTAAGTACGGATGTTCCTACCTAACATTATCATTAAAAGGTCACGTGTTTAAAGGGTTGTCACCTCCTTACGGAAAAGACCCTCATTATAAAATTTATCGTCTGCTATCACTTCTGCTTCTCCATACTTAACTTGTCAACACATTAGGCGGTCGAAAAATCGAAAAAATTATTGCAACTTAGTTTTACTAGTAAACTAAACACAATTTCTTGATATTGCAATTGAAGACTACAGTTTTTCCTTTCACTAAACAAATTTCATTGAACTCTTCCGATACGAACTTTCCAGTCTATATGACTTTTTTTTTTATTTTTCTTTAATTGAAACTGAACTTTATTTCATGAAGTGAAATCTTTTCTGTGAGTTCAGATAAAAATATTTGCTTTGAGAGTTTCAAGTTAAAGGGAAATAACTCCTGCTATATTATTAATTATAATTGCTACATATTAGCATACATTTTGTAACAATTTGCAACTCAGTTTAAATTACCTGAGTAAATTAATTCTTCAGTTTTGTATATTGTTGATATAGAAATGTTTCGTTATTTCTAGAAAACATATTGTTGTTTTATATTTTGGATTTGATAGCCTTGTGCCATACCCAAAGTTAAATGTTTGTGGAGATGATATTTTATTTATGCAGCCAACCAAAATAATTCAAGCGACCATTCACTCCTCAACAACCCCAGGCTTAGAAATAGCGCACCCGAGTCCTCCACATTTGGGGTGATCACAAAGGTCAACCCAAACGGATTGCAATGGAATGACCTCGCTGTGGGAGAATTTGGTTTGAATTTTAGTAAATATAAATTATTTTTATTTTGGGGTGAATTTGTCGGAGTTAGCTCCTCCTTAATTCCCAAATTGTCACTAGGGGTCATTCTACCTACTATAAATACTTGGCGACTTCTTACCTCGTTCTTTTTTCTTCAGGCCACGTGCCGCATCCCACCTCGCGTGGAGGTGAGGTAAATCCTCTTTTTCATTTCTTCATTTCAGTTACTACAATGTAAGCTCTCTTAGAAGATCCGCGTCTTCCCATTTGTGGAAGACGCCATGAACATTACACACACATACACGTACGTACGAACATTCACTACGAACATTCACTTAAGAACAGACACCAATGTTTACACACACACAAATGTTATTGTCTATTGTAAAATTTTTTTGTTTAATACACACACACACACACACACACACACACACACATATATATATCTGTCTTGTTTGTCTTTTTTATCTTCAGTTGGACTTAATTCAAGTCCGGCCATTTTCTTGTAGTTGGACCTTTTAATATTCTACCAGGAGTTACACACGTGTTCCCAATTTGACAACATTCAAACCACCCGGTCCTCTAAAAATTAATATTTTGGGGAGAACAATCACTACTTTTGAAAAGCACACATTCTGTTACATGATAATCTTGATTTATAAAGAAGGTATGAAAAACTCATACATTTACTATTTTTTGGTCTCAATCAAGGCTGGCGTGTACTACGCCCTAACCCCTCAAAGGCTGTCGAAGTGGTGGGTGTAGTTTGATTGAGGGCTCCGGGTAGAGCTTTGTGACCCTTGTTATCTTATCAACATTTGCTCTTTTTCTACCTACATTTATATGATTTATAAAGTAAACTAAGTACAATTATTAAAGAGTGAACAATTTTTTCCAGTTTTTAATGTCATTCTGGGTTCTTTTTCCAGTGCAAAACTTTGAATTTGTTTTGCTCATATTAAATCTCGAAAAAAAGCACTATATAAAATTCACTATTTTAATCCATAATGTTGAATGTGTTAAAAAAATTATTGAACATTTTTGGCAAGAAAAATATCAAACATTGTTGATTTATTTCCGGTAGAACGATCTGTTATGACATGTCTCTAATTTGTATTTAGATACAAGGTATTTATTTTCAATTTTTCTAATTGGATTGTTCACCTATATGGCATGTTATCCATTATTGTACATAATCTGCTTATAATAAATTTTATATTTTATATTAATAGTAAGCTTATGGCAAATGAGATGTAGCAGAATGGGAGGGAGGGGTCATGACACCATCATAAAAATTTTATTTTGTTGTGAAAAAAATGTTAGATTTTGTGCATTTTTTATGGCCTTTTGGGTTCAAGCGGCGAAACGCCAAGATCTTATGATTCTACTTTTTAGAATACTCAGAAGGGGAATTTTATCTATATTGGCCAATGGGAATCAAGTTTTTAAAGCACAAAATTTTTGGCTGGAGACAAATTTTATGACCTTTGAGAATAAAAAGGACTCCTATCAGCAGTTGGGACGGGGAATAGAGTTGAATAGAAACGGCAGAGCGTCAAGAAGACATCACATAAAAGGACAGTCCAGTGAGAGGTCATAAATCTGATGTGACAGATCCAAGGTAGATTCGTATCATAAATTTCACACCCCAGAAGCTACAAGAATTTATCAAATTCCCTTCGAGCTGAGAGATCCTTTACAGAGCCGTTACAACAGAGGTTGGTGTCATTTAAAAGATTGTGCCTTGTGCCATATTGTAAATCCTATTACTCCGAGTTTTCTCTTATTTTGGTATTTTTGAATGGATATATTTTGTATAAGGATCCGTTGGTCTTATGAACATTTTTGGTGACTTGAATTTTTCCTTTTTCTTCTTATTGCCTCAAATTGTTATCCTGCCAAAAGAGGCACGGACAAAAGGAAATTTTTGTGCAACCCGTGTTTTGTACTTTTCAAATTTGTAATCTTACTTATTATAAAACGCAGGTTGTGTGTGTGTGTGTGTGCGTGCGTGTGTGTGTGTGTGTACGTTTATATATTGGATCGGATTTCCTACATTTTTCAACCGATTTCAACAAAACTTCACAGGACTGCGTAAAATTACCTTGCGGTGGTTCTGACAGCGCCAAAAATTGGAAAAACACAATTGTTTTTACCCGAAATCAATTTGAAAACGCGATAAAACACGATTCTGTCGCCAGAATGAAAGGGGGACAACTCATATCGAGTTATACTTATTATTATAAAACCCAGGTTGTTTGTTTGTGTGTGTGTGTGTGTGTGTGTGTGTGTGTGTGTGTGTGTGTGTGTTCGTTTAGATATTGGATCGGATTTCCTACATTTTTCAACCGATTTTTTTTTTGGCAGGTAGTGTTTCTTATTGCCTTGCACACTTTTTTCTTTATTTTTACATTCAGAATGCTTTAAAAATTCCATTTACAAGACAATTGTTTATAATAAAATTCTATTCAATCGATAGACTCATAAGTCATAACGATTGAAAACAATGTTTTTGTTTGAGTTTGGGTTTGACC